CTTCAACTACAAGGAGGAGCATGATTTAAACGCAGCTCTGAAAAGGTATTTTCCTCAAGGCATTGATGTCTACTTTGAGAATGTTGGTGGGGATATGCTGGAGGCTGTGCTGCTCAACATGAGAGAACACGGTCGCATTGCAATATGCGGAATGATTTCACAATACAATCTTCCCGAGCCTCAAGGAATTAAAAACTTGCTGCAAATTGCATTTAAGAGACTGCATATACACGGATTTACACATCGCGATTACGATCACATCGTGCCCAAATACTTAGACTTTGTGCTGCCTTACATCCGCCAAGGCAAAGTAGTGTATGTGGAAGACATAGTTGAAGGCCTTGAGAATGGTCCAGCAGCCCTGGTTGGGCTCTTCACTGGCCGCAACTTTGGCAAACAAGTCATTGCACTTGCTCACCAATGAATCATCAAATCAAAGTTAGTTCTTGTATGATCTCTGCTTGTAATTCTCTGTCTGTCCTTTGAGAAAGCAAGGGTCAGGTTGGTTTGGTGGGATTCCTCAAGCACATTATTGTAATTTGAATAAAAAAAATGTAGCAGGCCGGTGCATTGATTTAGGAGGCCCTGGACAGAAATAAAAATTGAGGTATTTTATGTTCAATATTTACCTTATTTTGAACAAAAATTAAAATTAAAGTGTCAAACTTAAGTTTGTTAATTTATATAAAAGAGGACCACTACATGAAAAGTTAAAAAAAAAAGCCCACAAAAATTTAGAATAATTTTGCTATTTTATCTCTTGGGCTAAAAGGTGTTACATGAAGCCCCATTTTTTTGGGGCCCTGTGCAGTCGCCCAGCCTACACAACCTGTGGGCGGGCCTGAAATGTAGCATGTAGCAATTGAAAGATTGTTATTATTATTTTTAATACGAACGTTCAAGAGAAGGGTGAAGTCAAGTAATGGGCCGCCAACCAAGGTGGTTGGTGTGAGTGGTTCGGCACTCTCATTCCTTAAGAGAGGTCACGGGTTCGATCCCTGCTCTCGTACGGAGTCACCACTTTGGCCAACACTTTACCCCTTACGGGCCGACCCGGTGTGAGTGGGGATTAGTCTGGGTTGTGGTTAAGGCTTAAAGGTGCCACCCATAGTTGGGGCCCATCCAGAACCACCTCATGGTTTAGACAAAAAAAAAAAAGTAATGGGCCGCCCATTTCATAGTAGCCTTGTACGAAAGGCCCAATTCTTCTTGTTCAGTTCTGTTTTATTTTAAAAATACCCTGAGTATAGCCACTCGGCTATACTATTTATAATTAAAAAAAGACCACACCTGGAGCCTTGAGCCTGTTTCGCAACGTGTCAAAAACAGTATAGCCGAGCGGCTATACGATTTTTAATTATTAAAAGGTAGTATAGCAAACAGTATAGCCGAGCGGCTATACGATTTTTAATTATTAAAAGGTAGTATAGCCGCGCGGCTATAATATTATTTAAAAAATAAATAGATCCGCCTTGCAGTGCCACATGTCCAAAATCGTATAGCCGCCCGGCTATACTATTTTTAAAGAAATAAAAGAAGTAAACACACACTGAAATCATTTTGAAATGTGTATGTCAACTATCAAACCTTTGGAAAATTTAAAATTAGAAACCTGAAATTCTTGCAATTGTTTTGACAGCATTAATAGATTAATAGGAGTATAGCCAAACGGCTATACGATTTATTAAGTGAAAATAAAAGAAAATGACCCTTCTAGTTGCATTTGTTTATACTTCATAAATATTAATTTGCTAGTATCGACATCTCCAAAGGAGATATTGAAGAGAGAAATTTCACAGTAAATCAATTTGAGAGTTCAATTTTTTCTACTAAATTATGTTATTGCACACATTATTTGTTGTAGAGAATTGCATGCTGAGGTGGAGTGTTAGGTAATTGCCTCACATTTCAAACAACACTTTATATATGAATCTTTGACCAGAGCTTCCTAAAATAATTGACATTGGTTCAAATGTTGGATCATATCAGTAAAGTTGAAAAAGTAGTGCATAATCCAGAAGCAGACACCTTTAGAGCACCTCCAGCCTTTACCCAAGACTGGGCAAAAGGCCCCCCAAGGCAGCCCAAGACAGCTCCAGCGGAAGAAAAATGGCCCGGGCAAATGGTGGGTCCCATCGAACTGGGCAAGCCCAAGGGCAGATCTTGCCTGGGCTACAGCCCGAAGGCGCTGACGTCAGCGCTGATGTTACGCTGACGTCAGCGAGTAAAAAAAATTCAAAAAAATCCAAAAAAATTTCAATTTTTTTTAAAAAAAAAATACCAAAAAATTATAGATATTTTCCCTATAAATACATAACAATTTTATTCACTTTCTAAATTGTTTATATTTTGTTGCATAATCTTTTTTTTTTTCTCGCCCTTGCCCTAGCCTTCCAAGGGTGGAACCAACTAAGGCAAGGCTGGCACTATTCATGTGAATAGTGGCAGCCCTTGCCTTGCCTTAGCCTTGCCTTAGCCTACATGGGTGGAGGTGCTCTTAAGGCTATCGGACATGCGTCAAGATTCGAGACTCTAAAATTTCTCGAAAGCAACTTTTCCCGGAACTAACATCCCATTGTCCTATGTCTCCAACACAAGTTCCAACTGAAGAATCACATTAGCATGATTCATGAGTGAACTATCAAAAGTAGTTGCCGCACACAATCATCCTAAAAAGACAGGAAATTTATATATGATGGGAGAAAAAAAAGAGAACATAGTTTCTCATTACTTAACATAGAAGAAGAGTTTGCCAAGCGGGATGAAAATCCATGCTCATTGGAGATGAGCTCTCATTTAGTGCCAGGGCAACAGTAGTGGGCAAACCTTTGGGTATGACAACCGCGGACGTGTGACTTTGGCCAGGATCAGTGACAGTTGATTTTACCTAAACAAATGAAAGAAAACCAAGGTCAAGAAACACAAGTGCTATTATGTAATTCTGTACATAAATTTGATTCAGATTACCTCATCCAAAATAGGAAAGAACATTGTTTTGGACAAGCATGGAGAGTCAATAACCTCTATAGCTGTAGCCACAAAAATTTAATCAAAAGTTAATAACAACAACTATGCAATGTGTAAAATGACGACACACTTCAAACATAAATTAGAGGGTACCGGTACCCAACAACATCACTTGAAGAACTAAAATAAAATACCTGGGCTCTTTGCAGCATTGAGAGATACTGCTCCCGGAGAGAGCGCATCTTGTGTTACATATAAATTTTTGGCTCAGCAGAAGAAGTTGGAAGTGGATTTGATGTTGCTTGTGAAGGCTAAATACATAAGGTTAGAGCAATCTTAGAAGAAACCAGAAAGACTAAACAAAATCTTCTTTAAAAATAGAAAAAGAAAATCAGCTAGTATGGCTGATGAGCAGGAAAAATTGGTTAATGAGGACCAATACAAAAAGAATTTCAGTTTACCAGAACATATCTTACTTGCAAACTGTTCCCAGTCGATAGAGACAAAGACAAACAGTCCTGCCATTCACAAACATGATCAATGAAAAGGGTTTTAATAACTGGATTTGGACAAAAATCAGTAAGTGTAGACACCGAGCAGGATCATTGGTTAATGAGGACAAATACTTAGGAAAAATAAATTTATGTCACCAGAACATATCTTACTTAAAAATAGTTTTCAATTGGTAGAGGCAAAGGAACATTTTCCTGTGGTTCACAAACATGATCAACGAAAAGAGTCTTAATGACTGGATTTGGACGAGGGTCTTTACACTGTTACTGCTGCCAATTCAAGCTGTCAAGTTAAACACACAAGTCAGTGTCTCTCCCAATTACAAAAAACAGAAAGTGACTAAATCTTTTACTAAATATGAGAATAACAAGTACTCTCTCCCTCTCACACACAAACGCGCACAGGCATATGTATGAACATATGCAATCACAAAATAGAAAGGAAGACCAAAACTAGAGAGGAAGCATATTACCTTTGGTTGATGAGTTTATGTAATCTGTGACTTTTGATGCTAAGATACTTCAGTTTGCCACGGAAAACTGGATTTGCCTCAATTATTTGCCTGAGTTCTTTCATCATATTCTTCCTCATAAACATTATATCTCCACACATAGAGAGTGCCTTATGATCCCTGTTGGATTGAACCCATACACATGTGATGCATTTCTTTGAACAGCTCCTCATTACCTTTGGCAAAAACTTTGAAATCCTTCATGAGGATATCTAATGCCTCGGCGCAACAATTGCTGTCAAGAATGAACCAAAAACATGCAGAACATGGTATTTTTTTTATAGAGATTGTTTATGTATAGATTATAAGAAGCTTAAAAAAAATGATGTTCTCACTTGTCAATGGCCTCAAGGAAATTTTGCTTTCTGATCCGGAAATAGATCTTCGTCGAGTAGCGATTGTTATTTCTATTTCATATAGACATATTGGAAACATCAAATCAGGTTGAGAGGAAAAATGGAACTTCGTATATTATTTAGAGGTACAGCCGCGCGGCCATACGTTTTAAATATATTATTTCACGGTTACAGCCGCGCGGCTATACTATTTATAAAATAAAATAAAAAGGACCCGCCTAGCCCGCCTAGCCCGCCTAGCCCGCCTAGGCGGCCGATTTTTGGAAAACTTGAATGGCGTGTTTTTTTTCTTCAGATTTCTTTTTTCCTGGCGGGTCTGGCATCTCTGCAAATACATCAAGCTAGGGTTTTAGCGACTCAAGTTTTTCAACAACGTAAAGGCATCTCTGAAGCTCAGTATTTTCCATTTTCTGTTTTGGTTTATGTTATGTTTGGTTGCTAGGAAGCTGATGATGAACAAATATTCTCTTACCTGAATATTCAGTTTCGTGTTTCTTTTGTTGTATTGATGAGTTTAGTTACAAACTGAGATGGTCTGGTTAACTGACCCAATTGTTGAGTCATCTCTTCTCTTGAATTTTTGTTTTTAAATTTCATTTTTGTCAATTCTCAGTAATGTAATCTGGGTGAAATGCAGCTTTTGGATCCGTAAGATGGGCAAAAAGAGTAAATCAAAAACTCCCAGAGAGATGCAAGATAATACAGCTGCTGTAGAAGAGGAAAAACCCTCATCTTCGGCCAAAAAATTGCTGAATCATTGGTTGAGATTCAGTTCAGGTTTACCACTGGGCATATGAAGTCTCATCTGATCCTACTTTCTGCAACAGGAACACTTGGAGAGCAATGAGGGTGATCCTGAGTTACTTGTTTACATTCTGTGAGCATCCACTTTTGTTGTTTTATGTGTTATCTGCAGGATTTATGCACATCCATTAATATCAAACCAGCCCGTTTGGTTGAACTCATCTTCCAACAGAGAGTCAAGTGCCATGGCAGTGAGCTCAAGTTCCCATTTTTCCTAGCTAGTTCCAAAAGAAAGTCCTTTTCTGAACATAAATTATTAAATGTAACTGTATATTTCTACTTACACTTTGCAGGAAAGAGATGGGACCAGAGTTTTGGTTCCAAGTGCAGAAGGTTGATTGAGCTGTTTGTCTCCAAAGATGTATGATATTTTATGATGCTTCACTCAAACCTTGCTTTAATTGCTTATGTTAGATGTGAAATTTTATTTTGGTCACATCTCTCACAAATAGTTTTTTTTGGTAACTGTCAAATTCATAGGTCTCTGAAGACCAACAAGTGATTGATTATATCACAGCCCAATGCAACATTTCACTGGAGCAAGACACCCTGCTTGGTGCTGGCTGCAATACAAGCTTCCCTGTCAATATAAATGACATGAGCACTGAAATACAGCCACAGCCCTTTCTAGGCAAAGAGAGTGAAGGAAACGACCATCTAAACAGTAATCATCTAGCAGCCACCTGTTGTTTCCCTAGTGGATCATGATTCGAATGTGCCATACGACATATCAGTTGATTGAATCCTTCTTTGCAGCACTTCTCCAGTGAATGTCCTGCTACATGTCACTTACAAGTTACAACTCAGAGAACAACATGAAGAATGTCCTTGTTTTTGTGAGAATTGATAATGCCCTTGTATTTGATATAGGTTATGTGTTGAGCTGAACACAAATGATCATAAAAAATTTCATCTTTTCTATATGCTTTTGCATGTATAGTGATGTCTTGTGTGATTCTTAATTGTAAATAAAGGATGGGATTCATTGCTTAAAACCAACAGATGGCAAGACCTTCGAGGTCGATGATAAGAGCAGTGATTTTTTGAATTTTGAATTTAGTATTTTTCTGATGTGAAAATATAGTAGCTAATAGTACTATAGAATGTTATGTAATAATATTTCTTCAATTCTTATACAAGTTGTTGTACGAGGATCATTGGCAAACATATCAACATATACTGAAGAGATACATATATGGTGCTTGTTGTACCTTATTTATATGATAATGAATAATGATCTAGCATTTTCCTTTATCATAGTCTTCATCATAGACATTATATCTCCACACATAGAGAGTGCCTTATGATCCCTGTTGGATTGAACCCATACACATTTGATGCATTTCTTTGAACAGCTCCTCATTACCTTCGGCAAAAACTTTGAGATCCTTCATGAGGATATCTAACACCTTGGAGCGACAATTGCTGTAAAGAATGAACCAAAAACATGCAGAACATGGTATTTTTTTTAAAGATTGATTATGTATAGATTATAAGAAGCTTAAAAAAAATGATGTTCTCACTTGTCAATGGCCTCAAGGGAATTTTGCTTTTTGATCTGGAAATAGATCTTCTTCGAGTAGCGATTGTTATTTCTATTTCATGTAGACATATTGGAAACATCAAATCAGGTTGAGAGGAAAAATAGATCTTCATCATCGACATATTGACATATAGGGTTCAAGGGTATAGCCGCGCAGCTATACCTTTTAAATATATTATTTAAGAAGTAGAGCCGCACGGCCATACGTTTTAAATATATTATTTCAAGAGTATCGCCGCCCGGCTATACTATTTATAAAATAAAATAAAAAGGACCCGCCTAGCCCGCCTAGGCGGCCGATGTTTGGAAAACTTCAATGGCGGTTTTTTTTTTCAGATTTCTTTTTTCCTAGCGGGTCTGAAATCTTTGCAAATACATCAAGCTAGGGTTTTAGCGACTCACGTTTATCAACAACGTAAAGGTTAGCTCTTCCCAACAATTCACTCTGTTTTTTCTGTGCATTCTTTAAACTGTGGCTTAGAGTGCGTTCATTTGAAATTTCTCAAATTGTCGATAGCTCTGAACAAGTAGTCGAGTTGAGGCTTTGGACAGGATGGGAAAGGATTTAATAGAAACTGGAAATCCAGATGCATTCAAACAGTATCTGTCGGAGTTTGATAACACCATTCATTTGTGGGCGACACCCAATTAGCGTCTTTCTGCATGTAAGTTCCTTCAGTATTGCCTGAAGTGTCTGAAAAGGAAGAAGTTCAAATATTTTTCCTTAAATTTGGCAAAGAAATTTCTACATATTATAACTGATCATGTGAGAATATGACACCCTAGGATGAAACAGGGTAAAGGCCTGAAGCTTCAAAGGCTATTGGTCAGTGAAATGCATCACACTACTGTTGGAAAAATGGCTCACATTTAGTATGCAAGTGAAGGAGTGAGCGACCGGTCGCAAGGTTTGGGCGACCGGTCGTTTTTACACAGATTCGAAGGCTGGAGAAATCGCAGAAAGCGACCGGTCGCAAGGTATCCGCGACCGGTCGCAATGTATCTGCGACCGGTCGCCAGTGTTGCTGTGCTGTTTTTTCCATGCGTTTTTCAAGGTGTCTTCACATGTGTCGGTTTCCTACCTAA